CAATAAGGAATCTCCACACTTAATGGCTTGCTGGCGTTACTTCATAAATCACTCCCTCTGGCAAAATGCTAGGTGCCATCCTGACTTGTTTACAGATCCTAACAGGTTTAATGCAATGCCAATCAAAATCCCAATGGCATTTCTTGTAGAAATAAATAAAGCAATCATGAAATTCATATGGAAAAATAAAAGACCCAGAATAGCAAAAGCAACTCTAAACAGGAAAAGTGAATCAGGTGGCATAGCGATACTAGATTTCAAACTATACTACAGAGCAATAGTAACAAAAACAGCATGGTACTGGTACCAAAACAGGAGGGTGGACCAATGGTACAGAATAGAGGACACAGAGACTAATCCTCAAAGTTACAACTATCTTATATTTGATAAAGGGGCTAAAAGCATGCAATGGAGGAAGGATAGTATCTTCAACAAATGGTGCTGGGAAAACTGGAAATCCATATGCAACAAAATGAAACTGAATCCCCTCCTCTCGCCATGCACAAAAGTTAACTCAAAATGGATCAAGGAGCTTGATATCAAATCAGAGACTCTGCGTCTGATAGAAGAAAGAGTTGGCTTCGATCTACATATTGTGGGGTCGGGCTCCAAATTCCTTAATAGGACACCCATAGCACAAGAGTTAATAACAAGAATCAACAAATGGGACTTACTTAAACTAAAAAGTTTTTTCTCAGCAAGAGAAACAATGAGAGAGGTAAATAGGGAGCCTACATCATGGGAACAAATTTTTACTCCTCACACTTCAGATAGAACCCTAATATCCAGAGTATACAAAGAACTCAAAAAATTAAACAATAAGATAACAAATAACCCAATCAACAAATGGTTTGGTATTTTTGTATCCCCAATTATATGAGTTGAAGTAACGTTTAGACTCAAGTGGGGCTAGATCATTTGTGTGGTGAGAACCATCATTGCTTGGCTAATTTTTGAGCATTTTTCAAAAGCAGGATCTCTATTCTGTAGTCTTCTGTTGTCCCAATCATTTCTAGCCCCTCTTATAGGGAGTGGGAGCCAGGAGTAACACTTATTTCAGTTGCAGATGTACAGTTTTGAGAAGAATATCCAGTGTCTGCTTTGACATCTATAATACTAATTGCCACCTGTATAGAAATACTGGATGGAGAAATAGAAGTTATTGAGCCCAATGCCTTTGGGTTCATCTCTTAGCTGCTAGCCTTTGTGGCTAGAAGCCCAAGCTTGTGACACTGTGGATTTTTTTTTCTTACAGTTCAGCATTAAATTTCAGAGAGTTCCCCCATTTACCCACCTCACTAAGAAGCTGTTTTCCCACTTTAAAGTCCAGCCTTGAAGAACTGCTGGAATGGACACTTTTCCTCCATCTTCTACCTAAATGCTCTTGATCTGTATTCATTAATATCCTAATCACTTTACTAGTATATAGTCTTCTGGGATACGGTGGGGTAGCACAATTTGGATGTTGGGAAATTCTGTGGTGTGGGTGTTGCAGAATTCTACAGAGATTCCAGTGATTGGGCTTCAGTCTAGAACAAACTTTGGAACTCTGTGGATAGGTGTTTGAGAATTGCTCTACACTTCCTTTTGGAGGGGAATGCTGGTCTCTGCAGGATGTTTGGAGCCATAGGGTCTATGGTAAATTCCACTTTTAAGGCTTAGGGGCAAAACTTCCACATTTCACCCTCTGCACTATGAATATGAAATTCTAGGTATCTACCCTGTAGTGAAGACACTCCTCTGTAGCTGCTCTAGTACCAGCAACAATGGAAAATTTCTTCCTTGTGACCCAATGTCTGAATGATCCAGACAAACTTTTCTTTGTGCCAATTTCAGTCTCCCTGGGTTCAGGTGCCTTCTGGGAATCTTTGATTGGCTGCCGGGGTTCTTGACCTCCTGTCACCTGGCTGAGGGAGCTCTGGAAGGAGGGGTCTTTTGCAGGTGATGGGAGTGTAGAGAAGGCCACAAGAGCATGCACTTTCCCCAAAGGGCAGTCACTCTCTCTGGTTGTGGGGATGCAACTGAGGCTACCCTGTTAGGTAGCTTGAGAGGGAGCACATACTTTCCCCAGTCACAGGAATTCAGCAGGAGGTTGCCTTCTCTGGTAGTCCAAGTGCTTATTTTTCCTGGCTATATCAGCTGAGTGGACATTTGCTCTAGTAGCATGATTCTAAAGAGTGGCTGTCACCTTCTCCAGCAGAGTGAGCTCAGCTTCCCCTGGCAGTGGGGAGTGGCACGAGGATCCAGCAGCCTTTTTCTGTGCCCAGAATGCTTCTGCTCCTGTGGGAGTTCTTTTTGAATTTGCTTTCACAAATTCGCTTTCCCTATGAACTCTGCATGTATTAAATTCAGCCTTCTTCTCTAATCCACAGGTTACTCCAAGTAACCTTTATTTTTTTAATGTCTTTATCCACCCCTCCTACCCCACACCCACACCATTTCCTTTGTCTGCTCTTTCCATTCCTTCTATAGAGACTGATAGCCAGGCTGGAGGCTCTCTAACAAATATTTCTTATGCTCATGTTTCTGACATCTGTGACACTGTAGTTGGTTTTCTTTTCTTTTCTTTTTTTTTTTTTTTTTTTTACAGTTCAGCATTAAATTTCAGTGAGTTCCCCCATTTACCCACCTCACTGAGAAGCTGTTTTCCTACTTTAAATCCAGCCTTGAAGAACTGCTGGAATGTACGCTTTTCCTCCAGTCTTCCATCTTCTACCTAAATGCTCTTGATTTGTATTCATTAATATCCTAATTGCTTTACTGAATTTTACTTCTCTTTGTATTGCTTTTCTAGTTTATTCTCTCCTACTTTCTAAACACTATTATATCATCTGGAAGAATTATATAATTACTTTCTCACTGTCAGTTTTAAACTAATTTGTTCATTTTTACTAACTTTATTATACAGTATTCTCAAAAAATTAAATCATTAAAATGCTAGTGATAATTTATTTTTTATTTGAAAGGGAATTCTTGTAAGGATTTTCCATTGAGAATGATCCTGGCATTTTATAGAAACTTATAGTACATTCTCATGCATTTAGTTTTTATAAAGATAGAATTTAGAATTTATTTTTTAATTGGTTCTTCTTAGTTATACATGACAATAGAATCCATTTTGATAAAATTATACAAGCATAAGATATATCTTATTTTAATTAAGACTCAGTTTTTGTGGGTGGACATAATGGTGGGATTCACTTAAGTATTTTCATTAGTGTACATAGGAAAATTATATTATATTTATTCTGCAGTCTTTTCTGCCTCCCTTCCCTTCATTCCTCTTTGTCTAATCTATTGTACTTCTCACCTTTCCCTCCCCCGTCGATTGTGGTTTAGCTTCCCCCTTTCAGCAGCATGTACACTTTAAGTGGGCAGAATGCTTGTGTTCTTAATGAAAAACACAATAGCAAATTCTACCACTTCATTTTTATATCAGGGAATTTTAACAATTAATGATCAAGTGGCTATGGCAGAAATAAAGAACTCAATTATGTCAAGGGATATCTGATCTGGACTATACCGTAGATGAACAGTACCATTGAAACAGTCTGAAGAATATGGATATAGTTATTCTAATAATTGAGATTATGAAATGAATTACTTTTTAATGAGGCAATTTAATCAGTGTGAACTAAACCTAAGCAGTTATTGAAATGAAAGCAAGATTTTTTTTAATAAGATGAAATTCAGATCTAGGAATTCAGGGCTATGTATGGTTCCCCAGTCCTCTGGGACTCAGGCAACCTCTACTTTGGCATTCTGCAATGTTTAAAATTGTGCCATGTGTTATAGATCAGGATTGAGGTTTATAATCCAAAATCCAAGCCAAATATGAAGGAAGGGAAGGGAAAGTGGTATGTACCCTTCACTTATGGACCTGTCTCAAAAGTTGTGGACACCTGTTTGAGTCAGCTTTTTCACTGCTGTGATCAAAAGACCTGACAAGAACAATTTTAAAGATGAAAAATTTATTTTGGGCTCACAATTTTACAGGTCTCAGTACATAGAGGGCCAACTCTATTCCTCATGGCTTCATATGAGTCAGAACATCAGGAAAGAAGTGTGTGACAGAGGAAAGCATTACAGGACTTGGCACTAGGAAACAGAGAGAGGGATCTGCTCATCAAGAACAATATATATATCCTAAAGGGACACCCCCAAGGACCCACTTCCGCTAGCCACACCCACCTGCCTTCAGTTACCACCTAGCTAATCCTTATCAGCAGATTAATGAACAGCTTTTATAACCCAATCACTTCACCTCTAAGCTTTCTTGCATTGTCTCACACATGATTTCTTCTGGGATACTTCAAATCTAAACCATAACAACATCGTTTCTAAAAGCTAATGTCCCCGTGGCCAACACTTAGTTACATGGTTGGTTGTTCATAGGAGAGCTAGTCAATTGTATAAGAATATGTTATCAGGTAAAGCTCTAAGATTCTTTTACTAAAAAGAATTGGGAAGGGAGATTAGGAAATAATTAACAGGTCCCCTCCCCAATAAACCAGTTTTTTTCTATTTGGGCTATTTGTATATACTTTAAGGCTTCTTTCTTGAAGCAGACACAGTATTATAATTTGTTCACACATAATATTTTAGTACACCTTTGCACATTATTATAAATTGTAATATTTCCATTTTTCAACTATTCAGTATTTTCTGTGAACTATACAAAAGTATGTTAGTGAGAGGGAAGCATTCTAGTGGCATTGGTGATATATTTTATAAACATAATACAGGTCGAAAAGTTCTGGAAGGCTTTTTGTGAACAGTTTTATCCAACCTGTCAAAATAAGCCTACTGAAAAGACAGCAAAACTCAGTTCTCTTAAATGTCAAATAAGATACCAATTTCCTCTACATCTCTACCATATCCAAAAAGAACAAAAAAAGAATGCCAAGTGGTGGTAAGATATGATGTAAGAAAATAGTATAACTTCCTCCTAATTCTCCAATAAAGGTCCTGCCACAACCTCACTCTCCAGCTTTGGCACCATGACTTTCCTTCCTTCCTGGGTCTGTGTACTAGTTGGTTCCCTTTCTTTTTCTTTAGCAGGAGACTTAAATTTTTTAGATCTGTATCCTCCTTTGTGGAAGGAGAGTCCTGGTCAGTTCAGTGACTACCCAGTGGAGAATGGAACATACATTATCAATCCCTGGATATTCCCTGAAAGACTCGGGATGTATAAAATTCTATTGAACCAAACAGCCACTTATTTTGAAAAATTCGCTTCAGGAAATGAGCAAAATCTTTTATGGGGATTGGCTTTGCAGCATGGTTGGCAATATAGTTCGGGTAAGGAAGACAGCTGTTTTCAATCTCATCATCTATCAATATCATTATGAAACTTTAGAAAATAGAACTTTAATATAGTTCATATAAGAAAGACTGCTGTTTTATTCTAACTCTCTCTCTCTCTCTCTATATATATATATATATATATCCATGAAGTATTGGAAAAATGGGACTCTGAAAATCCTGCACATGTTTTTGAAAATTGATTCTTTTACTTCCCTCTTTTCCCCTCATAATCATTTTTCTCCTCTCCACAAATCCTTCCCTTGTGGATTATCTGTTTCTACTAGAAACTTCAGTGAGACATAAGGTATAATGACCAGCCGAAAACACTCATTATATCTGATCTATTGAACATTTTACAAATGGTTACTAAACCCTACTAAGTGGTACATTCCTTTCTAAGAACTGGGATGAACAGAATAGTCAAGGGAGTGTATATCACAAACAGAACACAATGCCATATTAGTTTGAACTTCTTGAATTTTAATTGTGATTACCTGACTGTGGAAACAGAGACATAAATGCACATTTTTGGGGGGCTAATTCTCTGAAAGTGATTGCTTCCTCATGGAAATAAGTCACCTTCCAGTGCATATGAAGAAGGTATATGATGTTAATATTATTAACTCTTTTACTCTGGGAGTATTCATTCCATAAAATTTATCAGGATATAGAGAAAACAGTAAAAATGTGAATATTTACAAAAGCAAAATATCTAAGACCTATAATTCAAAGATCAAAACTTGTAGTATGGTTAAAGAAAAATTGGTCACGAGGTGAGGAAAAACAAGATAGAGAATACTAACACCAGTAATTCAGAAATAAGTGTCAGGAATTGAGAATGAGGAATGACGAGGAAAGGAACTGTTGATTTTCATTGCAAGATCATAGTATTATTTGATCTTTTAAAATCTTGAGCAAATGTAATTTTAATAAAATGAAAATTAAATAAGAAAAATGTTTTTGCATCTACAAATAAAATGTTTCTAGTTAAGTGATGATCATACTCAACTTCACACTGTGGATAATAAATACTGCTGCACATTTTCTCTCCTCTAGGCAGATTAGCTGATCCCAGCCAAAGGACAGACTGTGGCTATGAATCTGATCATCTGTGCATCTCTGTGGACAGTTGGTGGGCTGGTAGGTTCACTTTGAAAGCAAAACAAATATTATCCTTTCACCACAGAAAGCATTCAACCTAAAATTTTAGGGGCTTGGATAAAACAAAATAGTATTGTGTTCCTTTTGAAAAATGAATCTGTGTCACATGTACCCAGTGACCTTTGTGTCATATTATAGGTTTTAACAGCCACATTTTTTAGGACACATTTAATTTCTCACAGAAAGATTGAAACTAATAACAACAAGGACAAGTGGCCTCTGAGTAAGCAACAAAGGCAGTTAGATGTTAGGTCTCAAAAATGACAGGGAATCTTTGGAATAAGGAAGGCTGAAAAGTGTGAGATCAAGACAATTATGCTTTTTAATTTTGTTCCTAGCATATTTGATAATATTGAAACTCATAAACTTGTCAGAGGTTAATAGCAACTGTATTTAATTTTATCAATCAGTAATCTACATCTTTAGTTGTATACTTAATGCTAAAAATAATCAGAAATTATTTTCTAATTCTTTAATTTTGCATTTTAGTTATGAAATTTATTTGCACAATAATTTCTTAAAGGTATTTCCCAATAATTAGAAGGAAGATCACACCAAATTTCACTTTCTCAAGAGTGACACTCACAGTATGTATCCCCTATGTATTTTCATCATAAATACTGAATCGATCTTAAATATTCACAAATAATCATACTCACAGATCTGAAATTCAACCTTTATTTTGCTCATATCGGCTTATGAGTTTGGAGTATCAGAGGACTATGCTGGGTAATAGGACTGCATTCACAAATGCTTGTCTATGATGAAAATATTTTCAACACTGATTTCCAGTGAGGAGCCAGTATAAGTCTAATACCTAACTAAATCAATGCATTTAAATCTACTGCTGTAGTAAGTAATCTGTAGGTAGGAATTTTAAAGAATCTTATTTGATTGTCAAAGCAATTATTTATTGTTCTAATTATCTCTTGTCAAAACAAATCAAAAAATTCTGCTTTAAAGACATAGTTATCGACATTATACTTACCAATTAAACCTAATATCCACTTACCAAAGATGCAATCCTGTTAGAATATTTTAGAAAAGATATAATTCACAGTACAACCTCAATGAGAAGTTTTGTACCTTTCTCTGGACAGTTTGATAGTTTTCTTCCTTTTTTTAAATTTAGTGCTTTAAAATGAATATAACCAAATCCATTCAAATTACTTTTGTTTTAATATATGAGTCAAGAACTTTAATATATACTCATGATCACAGGATTATTAACAAAGTTATGTTCAAGTTATATAGACAAATGATACTTAGTGGGATTTTGTTCAGTATTTTTTCTTTGTGCCTAACTTTTATCTCATGCTTCTGGATCTGGGAGTTTTTTCTTTAATGACTCAGGGCCTTCTTATAAATGTATTCTTTTATGGCTGGTGCTTCATGTAATAATAATAAGCCATTTGTTCTTACAGATTTAAATTATTTTCTCTGTGTATTGCCGTTCCTTGCTGCGGTGGATTATGGCATCCTGGGGATATCATCAGATCAAGTCAGGCTTCGGCCACCACCTGTGGATCAGAAGAGGTTTTGCTATGATGTATCTGGCTGCCTTTTATCCTTCCCTGAGATAATGAACAAGTGGAGTGACTTTTACAAGGTTCCTTCTTTAAGTGTTATATTTTGTAATTTTTATCTAGGGTTTTTGTGCTTTGTACAATATTTTTTTCTTAAAATGGCAAGCTATCTTGATAATGCTTAATATATTACTAACACATATTGCAATAGGGCATTGCATGTCATTGAAATATTGTCCCAGTACTGAATCAACACAAAATTTATCCATTCTGCCCACCTCAAACAAATTATACCATACAGAGTGAGCATACAACGTATTTTGGTAACAGGCGAATGGCTAGCATGGTTGATTAGAACTCCAGACCCACCGTGAGATCATAGGAGACAGGGGATTATAGAACTCGTTTTAGATCAGTTGTAATTCTCACAGTACTGTTGTGTTATGAGAGTGGGATACGTTATGAAGATACCAAAGAAAACACCAGAGATTGGACACAAGATATTATATTTATTGAAAAATGGTTATAAGGAGGTCCAGTGGCGACTGGCTGAACAGATGTTTCACCAGAAAGTCCAGTGGTGATGAACTGCACAGGTGCACCTCTGCTCCACACAGTGCTTCCAGTGCCTCACAAAAAAGTGGAGCTATATATATATAAGAGTTAGACACCATTGGTCATCTGGGTCAGACTCACATTGTTTCCCTAACTTGGTTATGATTTTTGGGAATAGAAAGGGCCATTCAGGTACATGGTGTATACTGTTGCCTTCTCTTTAAGGATGACACACTGGCCAATCATCTTATTTCAACTAAACTAATAAATGACCACATGTGGGTAGAGATAAACAATTATATGATGTTCTAAACTAAATATTCAATGACTAAAACAAAATGCATTAGTGAAACATACATATGAACTAAAATCCATGATGAAAACATATGTTTATTAGTTCTTTAGATTATCAATTAATGCTTTTATATATATTTAAATTTAACTTTCAAACAAAAAAATTTTTCTTCTTGCTCTTAAGATTTTATGGTAATTTCAATAATGGTGGTAGGAAAAAATGACAAAAAAGACTCCTGGTGCCTGTATGAAATATGCATTCTTTTAAGATGTTTGAAGTTCACTTCTTTTAGATGTATATACTTTACCAAATGTAAAGCATTTTTTTTGCCCTTTATAAAGATTAGACAGTAATGGTCTTGCACATATTTACTTTTACATTTTCGTTTCATGTAGTATATCACTCAATTATGTGTCTGAACCAGTCGAACTTCAGGGAGGGGAATTGTTAGAGTTGCTCAAATACTAACAAGTTTCTCCTCTTTAGTATGTGCATTCACCTTCTAGTACCTTTGAAGACATATTGGAATACTTATGGGTTGCACATATCTTCACCCTGAATAACATTTTCAACACATTTGATGATAGGTAAGAATGGATCCAATGTCATCTCTCTTTAGTATGTTTGATTTTTTTTTTTTTTTTTTTTTTTTTGCGGGGTCACCAGATATTGAACTCAGTGGTGCTTAACCACTGACCCACATCCTTAGACCCTTTGTTGTATTTTATTTAGAGACAGAGTCTCACTGAGTTGCTTAGGGCCTCACTAACTTGCAGAGGCTGGCTTTGAACTTGTGATCTTCCTGTCTCAGCCTCCTAGCTGCTGGAATTACAAGCATGTGCCACCACATCTGGCTGATTTTTGTCTTATTTATACTGTTTTCTTCTTCTAGAATGATGATGATTTCCAATCTCAATATTAGATAATAGATCTAACAATTGGCATTATAATGATGAGATGTAAATATTTTAGCATGACCTGGCATAGAATGTCTTTTATGATGAGGGGGCAAAATAGGAGAATAAAGGGTTGTATTAAAAAAATCAAATACATGAAATGAATTTTTCTACATGTAGAAAACAAAATGGAATATGAATATGTAGATGATTTTCATTGCTTTGGGCATAGATAAATGATATATTGGTATAAACATGTATGAGTAACTATCAGCAGGCATCATGTTTAGTGCACACGACAGCCTAAAGATTATCAAGCCACTCAACATACTGGACACAGATTGGCAGGCATAAGAATGACTTGGATGGAAAGTGAATGGTACTATCTAGAGGGTGAAATCTACCTTCTATGGTATGGTGTAGGGTAAAAAGCTAGATATAGCAAAAAACAAAGAAAGGGGGATTCATTGGTGGTGAATAAGTATATACATAGATATACATATACATATATAAATACATGTGTGTGCGTGTGTGTGTGTGTGTGTGTATATATATATATATATATATATATATATAAATAAAGTAGACAGTAATGTCTGAGTCCTTCATAGACAGTAATGTCTGAGCCCTTCATATGCCACTCACTCATATTTTCCCCACTCACTTGATCATTCATAAAGGTAAAAGTCTCAGTCTTAGAGAATTTCCTTCTTTTCTAGTTGATTTGGCTTCAAAACTGGGCATTAAATTAGGCAATGAAGGAGTGTAATCCTTTGTCAGTGTCTGTGATATAATCTGGGGTTGCATCTATCATAGCTGTTGGGATTCTCTTGTTCCTTTTGGGCAATGATGGGAAACACGTGAGATTATCTCAGGTGTCGTGGATTTGAATGGTGATGGTCAACCTCATTATTTTGATTGATAGTAAATGATTGTTACAGCTTTTTTTTTTTCATTTAACGGTTTCATAGGTTTGTATCAAAAAGTAAATTAGTAGAAAAATATAACTTTGAACATAGAAAACATGCATGTTTTAAATATTTAAAATTTATGGAGGGTTGGAGAGGTAGCTTCATATGTAAGGCCCTAGGTTTGATCTCCAGCACTGAAAAACAACAACAACAACAACATACATTTGTGGAGATTGCAGCATTCTTTTAGGTATATTTTCTTTCCCTAATGAACTTAGATAATCAAGTAGCTTGCATTTATTCCTATTTATGCAGTAGAATTAATTGCATGTGAAAAAATCACTTTTTTTAAAAAAAATACATGCCAGTAGAGTGTATTTTGACTTTTTGTACATACATGTAGCATAAATTATCCTAATTAGGATACTATTCTTGTAGTTGGTTGTACATGATGTGGAGTTACCCTGGTCGTGTATTCATATACAAGGATAGGAAAATTATGTCTAATTAATTCTCCTGCCTTTCCTATTTCCCTCTCCCTGTCAGTTCCCTTCATTCCCCTTTGGCAGATTTGTTTAAAAATTGTTTCAGAATCACATAATATAAAGCTTTTGGTGAGTATATTTAAATTTGTGTATGTCTATTTTGATCACCAGGGAATAAATTAAAAACTATTCATTTTATGGGTAATTAGTAGGATCCCATCCTCACTGATTACAACAAAGATGTTTTTGATCCACACTTCTATTTCCTTAACTTTGGTGTTTTAATTTCATCCCTTGGCAACAATAAATATCCTTCCTAAATAAAATTTTAAACAGCTAACATTTTAAGTAAAAGAATAGAGAATTAAGTACATTTAAATATTAAGAATAAGTGAAAGAAGCTGTTCTAAATACTTTCATGTAATAAAACTCAGTTCAAAATCATTGCTTTTCCAAGATAATAAATCTGTTCCTGAGTGTTTGGTAGAGAGCTTAAAATCTTACAGTGAACCAATTTGCAGTCCCACCAGCAATGTATGAGTGAGTGTACCTTTTTCACCACATCCTCGCCAACATTTATTGCTGTCTGTATTCTTGATGATTTCCATTCTGACAGGAGTGAGATGAAATCTTAGCGTAGTTTTGATTTGCATTTCTCTAATTGCTAGAGATGTTGAACACTTTTTCATATATTTGTTGATCAACTGTATTCTTCTTCTATGAAGTGTCTTTCAGTTACTTAACCCATTTGTTGATTGGGTTATTTGTTTTTTTTTTGGGGGGGTGTTAAGTTTTTTGAGTTCTTTATATTTCTTAGAGATTAATGCTTTACTGGAAGTGCATGTGGTGAAGATTTTGCCCCAATCTGTAGGCTCAATGCAGCCACATCAATGTTTATAGCAGTTCAATTCACAATAGCTAGACTATTAAAACAACCTAGGTGTCCCTCAATAGATGAATGGATAAAAAATGTGGTATATATACTCAATGGAATATTACTCAACTTTAAAGAAGGGTAAACTTATGCCATTTGCCAGTAGTTGGAGTTGGAAAATATCATGCTAAGCAAAATAAGCCAATCCCACAAAACCAAAGGCTGAATGTTCTCTCTAATATGCGGATACTAATTCACGTTAAGATGGGGAGCACTAGGGAAGAACAGTGTTACCATAGATTAGGTAGAGGAAGTGATGGGAGGGAAATGGGGAGGGCATGTGGGGATAGGAAAGATAGTAGAATGAAACAGACATTATTACTGTATGTATGTATGTGACTGCATGATCCATATGATTCTGCAACATGTACACTCAGAAAAATGAGAAATTATATCCCATCTATGTATGATATATCAAAGTGCGTAAATGCATTCTACTGTCATGTATAACTAATTAAAACAAAAAGTTAAAAAAATATTACAGTGAATTACAGGACAGATATTCAAATTCCCTAACTCACTAACCCGTCTTCTTACCCTGCATGCTGCACAGCCTGCATTGCAAAGGGCTTGAAAACTGGATTTCAAAGATCAAGTCTTCTAAGATTTTCTCTTATTCTTGAAAGCTAAATTGAGAACAAACATATGCTTCAACATTTGCAATATATAATAAGCAGAAATGAATGGAGTGAAAATAAAACCTGAGTACTACTTCGTTTATGAGGCATTTTTCAATCTCAAGGGGAGATAAGTCACAGCTGCCAGGTTAGAGGACAGGTGAGTGTAAGCAGGGTCTCCTGCCCAGGGAGTGAGGAAGGAGGACAGTCCTTGGAGTTGGCCTGCTGGTCCTGCTGCAGAGATCTTTCCTTCTGTCTTTATGTATATTTTAAAGTGAATATCGGTGTGATTTTTAAAAATTAATAGTTTGTATTTACATGCTTTTTTATATGCTAATGGTTTAAAGAGTCAAATAGTTTGATATTCCCTTCCCTAAAAAAAAAAGAACATCACAGCTATACCTAGACACATTATCACCAGTTATTATTCATTATTTGTGTGTTTACAATGACATTTCTAAAACACATTCCTGTAAGACTTTTCATTATCTTCAGCTATGGGTATTATCCTTCGAGTCACCACCCTGAAAAATTATGGTTTAGTTCACATCATCCCCACTCCACACACAAGCCATTCTCAAACGGCCCTCTGTGGAGTTGATGAATAGTTTATATTGGTACTCAGAGCTTATATTATTTTGGCTGTAATCAATACTCACTTCTTTGGCCTGGAATAAACTGATTACTTGTATCTGGGTGTTTGATTTCTTAGTATTCCATTCATGTAACACTACTGCGCTCGACATCAGCAAGCCAAGGAACTGCCTTCTCAAGTTGCTCGAAGCTTCAAGAATCCCACCCATAGCCTCTTCTTAAAGAGCTCAGTTTTCAGAGACACTTACTGGCACTGATGGATAATCCTGTGATGTCTCCTACTATGCTGCTAGAGATTCTCCCTGCCTGTTTTGTGTTGCATCACCTGGGGTCTTCTTATGTAGGACACTCTAGTCACTTACATTCCCTGCTTTCTAGGTGATGTCCCTCCCTTACACTGTGATGAGTTGACTCAGTGCAGGTGCAGGGACTCTTTGCTCTACAAGCTCCAGGGTGAGGAGCAGCAGGTCCACTGGAGCTGAAGTACGGGAGGCATCTGTGTGCATGCTCACCTGTTCACTATCCATCTTCCTGACTCCAGCCTCTCTATTCTCCCCACCTTAAATTAGGGGATTGTATATATTATCTCAGCATTAGTCCTAAGATTTTCTCTATGTTTTCAGAATTTAAATAGTTCTTTTCAATATCCAGGCTCCAAATTTTGTGGCTCCCTTCCTGTTTTCTGAGTATGCTTCTTGTTGTCATTTTAATGGGGGCTTTTGTGGGTGACAAATGTATAACTGTCTGTTACAAATGGGCATTTTTATTCAAAATCATTTAACTTAGAACATTCTCTTCTGTTGTTAATTTGGATCATTTAAGAATACTCGAGTTGTATTATGGATAAATTTATATTTAGTCTCACTATTAATTCAAGTTATAATACATATTTTCTACTAATCCACATCACTTGAATGTTTGATGATAGCTCCTTAAGCAGTTTAAATCTGTCTGAAGACCTAATGGAAAGAGGCAAATCTCTTAGTGATGACTACTGTGGAAATTCCAAATGCCTGTTTAGGTGTCCTGCATTTGTTAATCTACTAGTTGATGAGGTTTCTGGTTGTCAATTTCTATGAGCTCTGTTTTGGAGATTCTAAGTAATTGACAGTTGCCTGAAATACTGTAACAATGTATATAGTAAGATATCTTGATTTGGGTTTTCACAGATCTAATTTTTAAGTCCTGACCCCATTTGACTTGGGTATCCAAAGACATCACTCCTCATTTTTAAAATGGCAATAGTAATAGTACATGCCACACTGTGTAATTTTTGGGATTAATTGAGAAACATATGCATTTAGCTTAACCACTGGCACATGGGATACAGTCAGTATAAAATACTGATTATAACCAGAACAAGAGGCAGGGAGAACAGTAGTAAAGAATATGAATTTTAAAGTCAGATTGTTAGGGTTAAAACCTGGTTCTGCAATTTTTCATACATATGATCCAGTATTTTGTTAGCTTCATTAAAAAAAAAAGAAAAAGAAAAACAGCAGCAGGACCTACACTATTAAACTTCAGTGGCATACCACGTGTTTCCTGCTCACACATGTGGGTTCAGCCTGGCTCACACATGAAGGATCTGCTGGTCCTTCCTGGCCTTACTCTCTGGTGAACTCACTGATCAGCCCCAGCAGGGATGACTGGGAAAGCTCAGTTCTGATGCACTTATCTGCTTCATCAGGAGGGTCTGGGCATTGTCCATGGTGGTCAAAGTTGCAAGAGAGAAATCAAGTGTGAAAATCCACTTCAAGCTTATGCTTCATCAAGTTGGTTAATACTATATTGTCCAAATCAAGTCAAATGACTGAGCCAGGGGAAAGTGTTTCTGTCTCTCACCAGATATAGAAAGTAAGGGTCCTGGAAGTTACCTGACAGAAGAGAGGATTATAGGGCAATAGGGAATAGGAAAAAATTGGAGCAACATCTGTAATCTATCATACTCAGGAAAATAGCCTTAGAATCTTATCAGTTACTTTCTTCAGTCAAAAATACTAAGAAGTGTTTATTTAAGCAAGATAATCCTAATAATTTGTGGCCTATGTAAACTCCAGTCAAATTCTGGTCTTGTATTGGCTGGCTTGTTCAGAAGTACTTATATTTTTTATTTGAGAACCAAGAAATTTGTTTATTTACTTAGTTTTGGCCACATTCTGTCTCACTCATTAGATCAACTGGCCACTGAATTGTTCAACTGCAGAATTTGAAAAGTTTTCTATTGAATTTCATTTCTGCTCATATAACTTTTCAGTACTGGTGTCTTCATTGTCTTTTCCCTTCTCCCAGGTTTCTGACTCCCTTGCAATTTGTTTTTCTTTTTTGCAGTACTATGGAGTGATCCAGGGGTGCTCTAACACTGAGCTACATGCAGACCTCTATTTGGAGACAGGGTCTCAGTAAATTGCTGATTTTGGACTTGAACTTGTGATCCTCCTGCCTCAGTCTTCTGGGTGGTGCAGTTTATTTAATTTGCTGTTACTAGGGCTTAGTGGCCCTTGCTCAAAATCCTTATGAATAGGCATATCCTTTCATTTTTATTTGATAGACGTGTATTTTTATTTACTGTGACGTGTCAAAGAATATTTAATCCCAACACAACACTTGCCATTAAGGATAAACGTATGCTCACTCTACTATGTTCAGGCTAGGGGAAGAAAGAGTCTATCAGAATGGGAGTCATGGGGATGGGTTGTGTCCTCTGGACTATGTTATGGTTTACTTAATGTAAGCATGTTTACATAATGTAAGCATCTTATATTTTGTGGATCCTTCATATGTGTTGTCAAAATAAAATCAGATGGTCTAACTTGAGGAGGTTAGAACATATTCTAATGTTATAATAAAACCTCAAATATGTGGATGGTGCCGTGGGAATATGCCAGAGTGGGAAGTCATTGGTTTTAATTTAGGTAGGCTGGAAAACTTCGTGAAAGAAGCAATATTTTTGATGAGACTTGAAAGAGAATGTTCCTGGTGAGCAAAGTGGGAAGTGTACAGCCTTTTAGGAGAACAAAAATGTTTCCAAAAGTTGTTAAGTGTACTTACAGTTCATAGTGACAGGGGCTGTGAATTACCTAGTTATAAAACTCTTTTCTACTTTCCACTATAGTTATTGGTTCCCTAAATTATCAAGAAAGTTCAGTTTTGAAGAGGTTTCCTAAAGTAAACTTTTAAATTCCAATTACTTAGAAAATTGGACTTGAAAATCTGGCCTCTATTTCACTAGAATGATCAATATTTTGGGGACTCCAAAATATTGGAAATCAACAGTTTTCTAACATATGTCTCAGTCCAGTAATAATTTTGACTTAGACCTTTGATATTTTTCTTGACATTGCCAGAGAATATTATTAAAAATGTTTTAGTACAGTTATTTTATTCTTTGTGAGTATTATATGTTTAATTCAAAGATGTAAAATGCAAAGTAAAATATTAATAACAAATGGGATGATCCTTCCCAGACTTAAAGATTAACTATGCATCTTCACATCTCCTGAAGGATGGATAAAAAATCATCGCATTAAAAACCCATTTTATAAATCATGAATTTTACGGCAAGAGACAATCTTTTCTAAAGGAAGTGAGGTTGAAATTCTGAGATGATTAACCATAATTAAATACTTTTTCCATTTGTCTTTTAGATATGTCTACTATTCTAAACAAGAAGCAAAATTTGAGAAGAACTGGGTTAATGCTGTGGAATATATAGGCGCTGCCCGCATTCCTACAACTTTCATTAGAGTATATGAGTCCCAGAAGGGCCTGCCACCACGAATTCTTAGTAAAATGGACACAGCCTCTGGAATCAGTGACTTTACTGCCCTACAGAACACAGTCCTGTCAGGTCTAAGTGTTCTTGGCACAGTGAGTAAACTTACAGGTGAGAATTTTAAAAGAATACTTGACAAAAATCAAGACCATGTTGAACAGACATTGGTGAACTAATTAAATCAGAAGTATAGATATCATGATATATACTCTAAAAAGACATTTATGATTTCTTATGGTTATCTCTTATATTTAATTAGGAATAATCACTGTTGATATATGACCACTGAGAACCATGTTTTTCTTTGCCCTCATGGACTGTCCTTCCATCTGCAGTCCATATTGAAACATGGAGTGTGCATATCAACTAAAGCACACTTCAGTACACCCATATATACTCCTTATTGTGCTCATCAGAACTTTTCTTATTCTAAACTGAGTACTTTGATCTTAAATTTAAAGAATATAAGAGAATTTCAAAAGCAAAACTACCACAATTAATGAAATTACTAGCAATTTGACTTTTCTGAGTTTCTTTGATCCAATATTTGTTAGTCATGAAACACGTTCTTCTGCATTACTTCAAATGCTAAGATCCCTAGTAGAGTGAAAAGCAGAAGAACTGTACAATTACAAGTTTAGAAATTACTATTGCATCCCTATTATCCATCCATATACCTAGCCACTGACCCAAATTAAAAGCATAATGATACTATTAGTGTTTTTCAAAGCAAAAAGTTTGAATCTGAAAGCAAATAAATAATAAATCAAACAAAACATGAATAGTTTACTTATGTGTTTTTTAAAAACCCAAATGCATTACTTGGAGGAACAAAACATCCAGACACTAGGGACATAATACAATTCAAGTTTCTTCTTAGAAACTTCCTCTGGAATCAGGGCTCTAGTGAGACATTGTCAGTCAGCAGGTAGCTTTCCATCACATAGAAAGTAGTGAGCCAGATCTCTTTCCACCTATGGAAATCTTTCTTGGAGCTTTATCCCAGAAAATGAGTAAATTCCACTCATTTTGTTTAATAGATATGAAGCATTTCATTTGAATGTACCACAACTATGAGTATTAGTTTTTATTTTAAGTTATTGCCAAAATAACAATGGCATTCTACATATAATTTTCTTGTATAATTTACGATTTCATCACTAATTTCATAGAAATAATGAAATAAAATTGGTAGGCCAGATATGCCAAATAATATTACCTATAATGCAATGTTGAAATTCTATGTTTATTGTGCAACTGAATATATTACTACTAATTAGTAAAAAGAAAATGAAATAAATTTGATTGATCATATATTTCCAAATGGAGCTAGAAAAAGATTTCAGAGTTTGTACATAATGATTTTATTATTCTTCCAGGTTCATTTTCTTTGACTGCATGGAAAATTTTAATGAACACACAAGATTCAAGGAAGCTAGTTTTAGAGGTTTTTGACAAAATTTTTGCAATATCTAATTAAAAACTTCCCCAAATATTCAATGAATTAAATGTCAACCACTAAACCACTATAGTTTTTTGACAAACTTTTTACAATATCTAATTAAAAACTTGCCCAAATAGTTAATGAATTAAAAGTCAACCACTATAGATTTTTGACAATCAGTAATTTCAAAAAAATAAATATGATCATGATCATGTAGTCTTGCCATTTATGGTGATTTTGATTTATGCTCACTTGTTAAGAATTCGTCCATGCATTACTACCATTGAATTAAAATCGATACTTTGATTATTTTGCTGAAGAAATAATTATCAATTTTTTAAATTCACCAATTCTTAAATTTTGAGATCTAAGGAGATTGCATGAAGCTACCAAAATCATCATTATTTAATGAATAAAAATCTATTAAACTTCTATGGCTCTTTTGGCATTATCCAATGTCCCATATTTTTATGAAACTTAGAGGCAAGTAGTTTGTTGATTTATAAAATCAAAAAATTTCAGAAAATTTTGAAATAAAATACTGAAAGTTAAATGTATAAAATTCATAAAACTGAACTGGTGAAGAGTACACTGATTCATCAGGTTTTTTTTTTTCCTGTGAATTTATCAAGTTTACTTGATAGAGTTTCCCTCTTTCACCCACAGTTGATAATGAATACTTCAAGGTTAAGTTTGTCAGGATTGCTCTAAGTGGAAAGAATGCACTGGCCAGGAAATCATGATTTCTAGGATCGACATGAACCATTTATAAAGGCTTTTGTAAGGCTTTCATTCACAGACTAAATCTACCCACCAAATATTGAAAAGTGAAATTGTAAAAGTTGGTTTGAATAGCATGGATTGCAATAGGAAAGAGTAGCTCACGGTAGCTCTGTCATTTGCTGGCTGAATGAGCTTGGGAAGCTTTTCTAGTGCTCTCTTGCTTCAGCTTTCTTATCTTTTATAATGATGAACATTAAACCTACTTTGCAATACTATTTTGAGGAGTCAATAAAAACATGAATATAAAGTTACTAGTATACTTCTCAACAAGTGGGATAGGGGCACAAAGAGCAGAGATTATCACAATAATCGAGCTGAGAGATGGATGTATATTATATTAGGAGGGATAGTAAAGCACCTGTGATGATCAGGAACCAGAAATGCATTTTTGTTGAATCCAAAAACATACATGGATTTCTTGAAGATATAGACAATGGATGCAGTTATAGAAAACAATCCCAAATCTTCTTTAAAAAGGCAAAATGATGTCAATCAGTTCAACCCTTCAGTAGGCAAAGTTGTAATGGCCTGACAAAACTAGGCATGTGATTTCCCTTTGAACTAGTTGTCACACATGTAGTATCTTTTTGGAAGACATGCCTCTACTATTAACAAAATAGAAACATGCAAGTTTATGTGTTGTGCCATTATCTGTAATTGCAAAATCTAACTAACATAGGTACCCAAAATAGAAGAATGTTAAAAAGTGATTGCTATCCATCTAGGAAAGAGTGATGAAGATAGCTATGAACTGTTGTAGTATGATTTGCAGGACATGTTTTTAAGAGGAAAAAAAGAGCATTTCAGTACATAAGAAGAGAACATCACTCTAATCAAGACTGATGTACTTTGACATTAGCAACCTCTTAGTGGCACACTGAGAAAGACACCCAACTTTTCTGTAATATTCTTGTCAAAACCTGTCCTTTAGGTATTCTTTAAATACCTGGTATGAAATATCAGTTCATCCCTATCTCTCTTTGAGTTTTTTTTTTTTTTTTTTTGAATCTCTGGCTCTCTGAAAGCTGGCTGTCAGATAAGCAATTGCATTTGCTTTCTATCACTGTCCCCCCCAAAATAATCTATCATAATATTACTTTGTAAGTTCACATGTGTAGAAGAAGATAGTGTATATAACAGACATACCCATGTTAAAAATCTACATTTATTAGATTTTGTTTGTCTGAAAGTAAACAATGGAATTTTTCAACTTTATCAATTTTCTAATTGTTAGAAATCTAATCTAATTACTTAGGGGTCATTGTTTTGCAGATCAAGGGTGGATAAATGTCCAGTAGGAATTTACACACTGGAAGACACCCAGTTTTTTCTTTCACTGGCTTTTTCTGAGGAATTGATTGTGTGACAACCTCATTTAATGAAGAAAATACTGGTAAAATTGACAGAGTGACTGTCGCTGAACATTTAATATATTAAATTATATATAATTGTAAAAAAGCATTTAAGAACAAATATGAGGAAAAATTTTAAATGGTATATATTCTGATATAGTATCTTCTGTGCAACTAATAAAAATAAGAGGACAGCAAACTAAAATGAGGATATTCAAAAATCCTTATCAATCATCACATAATAAGGATTTAAGTGGTATCATTAAAATCTGTCAAATGAAATATTAGAATGTTAATTTAGAAAGAGGATTACCAAAGGCATTAAAAAGACATTTTTACAAATGTAAACACTAGAACACAATGAAAATATTTTAAATCCAAAAGACAATCAGATGAAAAAGAAGGAAGGAGGGAGGGAGATAGAGAAGAAGGGATAGAAAGATTATAGGAGAAAAAAGGTGCCAAATGTTAAGAAAAAGACATACATGCATATTGAGGAACATTAAGGGACATAACATGAAGGGAGAAGAGCTTTTCAAATGACTCAGGGAGCCAAGCCCAGTTTTTGGATGCACATCAAAGAAACACCTAAACCCCACCAGGTTATCTCAAAGATGACTCAACCATGGAATGACTGGCTGGATTTTTTTTCTTTTGAGCCAATAACTACCAGAAACACCTCCTTTTCCTTTTCTGAAAGAAGATTATATGTTGTTTAATCTAGATGTCTATGATATTTAATATATTTATGGGACTTCGTGGATTTCTTTGTGTTCGTACGTAAATGTTTATACTTAAATGTTTGTACATAGCACCTACTAGTGTGCCAGAAACTGTGCTTTATACTGTTTTCTAAGGACATAGTCATTTGTTTCTTGCTCATAGGTGAGGTAGATATATTTGAAAACAAATTTATCCAGGTAAGTGATATCAATGATAATACCTGAAAGTATAAAAATCCATTTTCATAGGAATGAGACTCATAGACAAATGAAAATCCATCCTAACATAGATGTTTGTAATAAATGAAAGAAAAAGTGTTTGACCTAAATCGAGGGCAGGAAATAGCTCTTCTGAAGGGCAACTAACTTCTGTAAATGCATGGATATATGAAAGATCACAATGTAGTCCAAGAAGGGTTTTCGTTTTCTTAAATACATGTCCAGAAAATGTTTTAAAGATGACTGCTGTGGAAAAATTGAAATTAAACAGATAAATGCAGGTTGAGTTCTACCAAAATGCTAGACAAAGAGGATATGAGAGGTCTTCAGTCACATCTACCTTGAAATAAACTTTTGACCCTGTGAAGCAGCACATTTTCCCAGCACATATTGAAACCCCAGCAGGCAAAACGTGCTACATATACATATTGTTGTGCATATACTGACTGCTGTAGTTTCATTTATGGCAGAACATTCCAATCTTACAGAGAGTCTCCAGGGTCATCTCACCTTTAACTCCCTTTCTTTCCAAGAAATTCTCTCTCTTTTTGTTTTGTGCTCCTCCCTCCTCATTTCAGAAAAGAGTTATGTATTCTTTGAGTTACTCAGATCCTTTCCTACATGGCATCTTGCTACTGTGCCTATACCAATTGGAA